ACAAGTCGAAGTCGTTATAAAGGGTCAATGCTTCTTCCCAGTGGAATCAGGTAATAACGATTTTACTGTTATCTATTGTCTCAGCTTGAAGGATTGTTAAGCTAAGTTTGACTTGTTGACTATTGTTATTATATGTTCAATAAACTTACTAGTGATACACTACCATTTTGGTTGTCCCCTCCTGAATCTTACAACCTGACATATCCTGAACGCCACTTATCCTTCATTTCAGTATCCAAATTTGGTGTCTCCATGAGACTGAACTCGCTCAGAGGAGACACACTTGGCAATGTCATGGAAATATAGATATTCCATTTATAAATTTTGCTTAAGAGCTCAACAGCTTACAATTATCTCTGGAATTTCCATGTGTAGAAACTGAGAATTATTATTATAATTCCATACACCACCCCCTACACATGGAAATTCCAGAGATAGTTGTTGGGATGGAATGCACATTCTCTCCCTGCTTTCCTAATTTCATAAAGTATTAGACACAAGTTGGCATTAATTAAATCAAGGAGATATCCAGCATATTTGGTCACAATAATCAAGGAAAACAAGTTTGAATAGGTGGATAACAGAAAAATTAAAGAGGTGAGCTCCTTCCCTTTGGCCATGAGCTGGAGGAAACACCATCCTTAACAACTGTTCCCTTGGAAACTAATGTCCAGTTAACCCAAACCAACCAATCTGAATGCTCCCTGCAGTCACAATGTGACAGAATCATTATATTTTCATTGCACATACACGTCTCAGAGCGCTTTACAGTAACGGATCCCGGGACTGAGCCAGGGGGAGGGGGAGGAAGGTGACCAAAGGCGCGGTTGAAAAGAAAGGTCTTCAGCAGAGACCTGAAAATGGGAAGGGAGGGAGCAAGTCGAAGGGAATGAGGAAGGGAGTTCCAGAACCTCGGGGCATAGTGGCTGAAGGCACGGCTGCCGAGGGTGGAGCGGAGGACTCGGGGGACGAGGAGGAGGCCAGACCCGGAGGAACAAAGGCAAAGGGTACTGTTTTGAGGAGATAGGTCAGAGAGGTAGGGGGGTGCAGAAGAGTGCAGGGACTTGAATACAAGGGTGAGGATCTTGAAATCTATCCTCTCTGGGATAGGCAGCCAGTGCAGTCTGGCAACGACTGGGGTGATCGGGGAGCAGTTTCATGCGGGTGAGCATGCGGGCAGCAGAGTTTTGAATGGTTTGGATTTTATAGATGGTAGTGGATGGGAGACCGATGAGGAGGGCGTTAAGAGTCCAGTAAACTGCAGTAAAGTAGTACTGTAAAGTTCAGTGACTGATTTTTTAGGCGTATACAGTAGTGTCCCACAGATAGCCATGAAGTGAATGATCTCTCACCTAAATTTTTCAGATGCTCTCCTCATTGGTCTCCCTAGTTACACATAAGCTCCAGCTATTCCAAAACTCTGCCACCCACATCAATGTCAACAGCCCCGTACTCGCCAGACTCACTATCCCCAAACAAGGTGGTCATTCTCAACCTATAAATCTCTTTATGTCCGAGCACCCACCTGTGCGATCCTTACCACACTCCTCTCCTCACCCCCTTGCTCTACTACCAACCCTAAGTAACTAAGCCTAAACTAGGGAACTCCTTCCCTTAACCACTTCATTTTGCACCCTCTATCTGTCTTTAAATACCACCTCAAAATCTACTTCTTCAACCTACTGTCCTATCCATCGTTTGATGTCACTCCATGAAGTTATCCTATGTGAATGGTACCATATAAATGCAAGTTGTTGTTGATTAAATAGAGGAGTGTGTTACAAGCTGGAATCTAATCTACAAGCTGGAATCTAATTTGGATGGTTAATATATTGAATAATGGTCTGCCGAGTGAGGTACAGACTGGAATAATAATTCTTGCTTTTGATATAGCACCTTATCACATCGTCAAGATGCCCTAAAACCTTCACAGAATATACTGTAAAGTGTAGTGACTGTGTATTTTGTGGGCGAAAAGTAGTAGCTAGTTTACACACAGCAATCCCACAATTATCCATGAAATGAGCAAACAATTTTATTTTGGGGATTTTTGAAGATGCCATGGAATCTTTACGTTCACCTGAACAGGCAGATGGGACCTCAGTTTAACTCAAAGAATAGACCTCCGACAATGCAACAACTCCCAGCACTGCATTTATACTATATGATTCCAAGTCCCAATGTGGGTCTGGAACAACCTTCTGACTCAGAGGCGAGAGTGCTACCACTGTGCCAGACTGACACTTCAAAGTGTAGGATTTACTGTAATGACTACAAATCTAATTAAGGGTTTGGAAAAATTTATGTACAGTATAATGCATTATAATGCATTTCTAGAAACGAGCTACAAGCTGCATACAGACAGAGCGTACAAAGGTACAATAACTTGTCATCTGTTGTCTTAATGAGGCAACTCCTGTACATTACAATCACAAATACAGTAAATGCCTGATAACTTGTCACTCCCAGGGAAAAGGGTGACGAGTTATCCAGAGTGGCGAGTAAGGCATAAGTATAAATACATAAATAAATGCACTCTCTCCTCTCCCCCTCTCTCATACACTTTTTCTCTCAATTACTTGCTTTCACCACTTCTCACACCCTCTCATTCTCTTTCCCCCTCACTCCACCTGCCCCCTTCTCCTCCTCTTACGCTCTCCCTCTCTCAATTATTTTCACTCCTTTCCCACACATTCTCTCTATCCCTTCTCAAACTCTCTCTCAATCACCCTCTCAATCTCCCACTCTCTCTCTCTCTCTCTCTCTCCTCATCCCTCACTTTCACTCCCTCCCCCTTCTCTCTCTCCTAATCAGCCGCACGGCAATCACTATCTGCAACGGCAGGAGCTGGCAGTTAAGGATGTAGTTGTAAGAGACTGGCTTGCCTTACTGAAACACTGCAGTAATGGCTGGTATCATTTCCACTCTATGAGCTGCGTCCTCCCAACCGCCGGCTCCTGTCGCTGCCATGGGAGGAAGTTCACCAGTGAGGGAGGGAGCGGAAGTTGGAATGTTGGAAATGGTCTCAGGTCGTATAAAATCTGGACTGGATGTGACCCACGGGCCACCTATTGGACCACGCTGATTTAGAGGCACAGAATATCTAAAGCAAGGAGATGAGAAGGTTAAGGGGTGAGCTGGTATAGACTGTCAAGATTATGAAGAATTAGGATACATTAAATAGCAAGAGATTTCCACTAGTTGGCAAGCCATTAACTGGAGAGCCCAAATTTTAAAATAATCAGAGGAGCAAACACTAGCAGTAATAACATGAACCGAATGACTTCCTACCGTGCTGTAAATTTCTATGGTTTATCATTCGAATCACAAAATAAATTAAGAGTTTAGAAAAGAAATTGTTACACAAAAGGTAGTTTGAAAGTGCAACCCTCTGCTACAAACCATTGAGGCAGAATCCATATTTTTTAAAAAAAGGGAATTAGAAGTTTAAAAAAGTATAACAAAGTATGGGGAATGATGAGAAGAGTGTGATTAGATTATGTGGCTCGTGTTGAGAAAAATAAGCGCAAAATTTGACAAATGTATTTTGAATAAAATTATTTTTGGTTGTCCATCCTTACATCACTATATTAAAGAAAAGTTTTGCAAATGAAAATCTTTACCACTTCATTCAAAACATGTTCTGTCTTGCAACTCATTTTTTAGAGATTAAGTAAGCTAACAATTAAAATGTCTATGCAGATGGGTAAATACGTTTCAAATCTTATACACCTTTTGTTTAGCTTGGATTTGGAGTGCACACATTTTGGGTGCCTGATCAGGACTAAGTTTGTTTCTCTTGCTCATCCATTTTATTATTTCATTTACTGACTTTTCCACTTTCCGCATTCCATTAGCTGTGATGTGGCTATACGGCAAAAAAAATGAATAAAGTTAATTATCCATCTGCAAAATGCAGAATTCAGCACTAAAATTGATAATAAAATTCATTATCACTTCAAAGTAATTTAATTTATGAAGTACTGTGAGATGTTTCAATATCATAAGGGGGTATACCAATTGTAAGTATTATTATTCAACACTTGTGAATTTGATTTATATTTATCCTGTATTCCTCTACTATATTTGCAAAATGTTGCAGTTTCTATGCAAGAACACTAAACTTCTCTGGAGTCTAGATTGGTTTCTCAACTGCAGCCACAAGGCTACCCACATTATTTTCTGCAGTCAAAGCAGCCCCCACCCCGGCCCCCATACCACATGAGGTATGCAGCTCCTATTGACCAGCATCAATACAGTGCTAGTCATGCAAAATTATAGAACAAACTTGCAGTCGCAAGTTGTTAAGCCAATTACAACTGTACCGACAATTCTGATCCCTTATTTGGTAGACCGCAACAATCATCTCAAGTGCTCCAAGTTTGATTGAAAGTTAAGGTTGCGGTGCTGCACTGCGGCCACCAGAAAATGCTGGTGTTCGCACACTGAGGCCACCAAAAATACTTGCTAGAGAGCCACTGCCCTGCACAATTCTTCAATTGGTGTACTTAATTTTTTTAAAGCAGATGGATTTTTTTGGATTAGTATATATACACAAGTTATAATCCACCACAAATATTTTGTTCAGAAACTAAGTGAAGAGCTGAGACCCATTGTATACCAACAAGTGTTTAGGTACTGCCAAATGTGAGCTTTAAAAACTTGTAAATTGGATTTCGAAGGAAAACTAAAGACAAGGATTTCAGTCTTTAGGCCATGAGAAAGTTAAGAACAAGAGATAGAGATAGGTAAATTTATGGTACATTGAAAAATCTGAAGGTAAGCAGCTCGTGAACACACCCTCTGATAGATGTTTCCAAAAAAGTAAACAATTTTTGGTTTATTTTTCTTATGAAAAAAATATAAATTTGAGTGTTGTGAAAATTATATTCGAGAGCTCAATATAAACATTATAGATATGAAAACAGTGCAGATATTATTAGGCCATCAACAAAAACAATTGAAATACCCATATTTTGTAACAATCTTTATTTGAATTAAAAACTCCTATTAGGAATTATACTATTATCTCAGACTGTGGGGCAATAATCTGGGAGATTCTGGAGTGGAACATCTGTCTGTGGCTCTGAGAAACCCGCAGTGTAAAATACAGAGTCTGGGGGTGGCATCTAACCTTCTGACAGCTAATTGTACTGAGGATCTGGTCTCCACTCTCAGTACAAATTGCTCACTGATGGAGCTGAACCTGAGTAATAATGATCTGGGAGATTCAGGAGTGAAGCGACTGTGTGAGGCTCTGAGGAACCCGGAGTGTAAAATACAGAGTCTGTGGCTGAGCTATAATAGTCTGACAGCTGATTGTACCGAGGATCTTGTCTCTGCACTGAGTACAAACTATTCACTGATGGAGCTGAACCTGAGTAATAATGATCTGGGAGATTCAGGAGTGAAGCGACTGTGTGAGGCTCTGAGGAACCCGGAGTGTAAAATACAGAGTCTGTGGCTGAGCTATAATAGTCTGACAGCTGATTGTACCGAGGATCTTGTCTCTGCACTGAGTACAAACTATTCACTGATGGAGCTGAACCTGAGTAATAATGATCTGGGAGATTCAGGAGTGAAGCGACTGTGTGAGGCTCTGAGGAACCCGGAGTGTAAAATACAGAGACTGTGGCTGTGTGATAACAGTCTGACAGATGGCTGCACCGATGATCTGGTCTCCGCTCTTAGTTCAAGCTGCTCACTGAGGTTCCTGTCCCTGGGGACTAACTCCTTCACAGATGGCTCTGTCCCCGCTCTCCGCCGCCTCATACTGACCTGCACCAGCCTGGAGGAGATCAGGTTGTGGGAGAATCAGTTCAGTTCAGATGGAGGGAAACAGCTGAACTTACTGCAGGGAACCAGAGCTGGACTGAGGGTGTCAGTGTGGATCACAGAATGAGGAGAGATTGGCGAGACTGTGTCTGGTTAATATTAACTACCTTCTCTTGGCCCCTCTTTTAACTGACATCATCAACCTCTCCTTATCCACTGGCACTGTTCACACCCTCTAAAAACCTTCCCTGGATCCATCACTGCTCTCCAGCTATCGCCCCATCTTCACCTCCCATTCCTCTCCAATACCCTGGAACAAGTCGTCACGTCCCAGCTTCGCTCTTTCCTCTCCCGCCACACGCTTAATAATAATCCCTCCAAAACCAAAAATAATAATAAATTGGTTATTTTCAATCTACGACTGTTTGTGGGACATTGCTGTGCGCAATTGGCTGCTGCGTTTGCCCACAAATATACAGTCAATTCACTATACAGTGTGTTCTGTGAAGCGCTTTGGGACGTCCTCCTGACGTGAAAAGCGCTATATCAAATGCAAGAATTATTATTATTATTATTATTATTATTATACTGTTATTGCAGTACCACACAAATTTCAATGAACTAAATTTTATTGAAAGGTAAGAAATACAAACATAGAATCCTAGAAATACATGATCTTTCCCTTCTGCCATCCACTTCCATCCCTTCTCTCTCCCATAGGGCAGACCTTTTCTCTAATACCTCATATGCGTAGTGCCAATTCTTCTTTCTCTCCTCTCAAAAATACTTTCAATCTCTCCACACAGCGTGAACTCTTCTCTTACCCTGATAACTCCTGTGCTTTTCTAGAGTACAATATGCCAACCCTTCTCTCTGTTCCCTAAACGATGCCAGCCTTTATCTCTTTTCCTCCTTCCACCGCCTGCCCATCCCTCATCTTGCCCATGGTACTTGGGTTGGGAAATGCTAGTAAATATTAGTAACTGTTACTCACACGGAAGAGTGCTGGTCAGGGATGCTCTGCTGCCAAGCTGGATGGGCCGATCTCTGCTGCCGGGACTCAGGCTGGTCTGAGCCCCTGTTCCCTGGTGCTGAGACTCAGCCTGGTTGGGGCCACTGCTGCAAGACATAGGCTTGGGAGTTCTCTCTGTTGCTAGGACTGGCTTGTTGGGAACACTCCCTGTGAGACTTGGGCTTCCTGAGGTCACACCCTGCAGGACTTTGGCTTTTTTGGGCAACTCTCTGCTGCTGAGATTTGAGCTTGTTTGGGATTTAACCTGATAAAGCCATTCTCTGCTGCTGGGACTTGGGTTAACTGGCTCAATTTCTCTGGCCCACTGCTACCTGAAAGAGGGGTGGACAGGCGTCGTTCTGCCAATAAGGGAGTTTCTCATCAGACACTGTTTTCAGGTGCGCTCCTTTTGGGGTTCTGATTGATTGATACTAAAACCAATTAGAACTACATAATGCCACTTGAATTTTGTCTACAATATTCCAGGATCTCAACCACGTTGTGGTTGAAAGAAAGCAGTTAGCTGGCATGCGGAGGATGGGCGCTATCCTGAAGTTACAGACTATATCTGAGCGAGTGTTGTGCCAAAGCCTGAAACATTTAAAACAATTTCTTAAATATGTGCAAAATAATTTCACACAAACATACAACAATCATATTATATTATTACTCATTACTCATCATCACAATTAACTTTAGGCACATAAATTATATTGTTACACTCTGCATTTTAAGATTTGGGGCTAGTTAATTATTGATAAATACAAACTACAAATTTTATTTACTGCAAGAGCAATATTGTTTTTAAATTTCAAATAATTTCAGTATGAACAACTTATAGCATTAAGAAGATCTTGGCAGAGAATGAATTAGTCAATAAATTCAAATTTCAGGCAAGCATCAATTTAGCAACAGAACACAAACTCTGGCCACTGAAACCATACCAGAAAGGTTATAAAATAATTATCCTTACTTTTGATAAAGTGTCTTTCACATTAGGAAGACATCACAATGCACTTTACATGATTTACGGGAAACTAGTGAATGCATTTGTACACAACAATGTCCCACAAACAGCCATCCAGTGAATGACTAGTTTATTTGGGGAATTGTTGACCAGGACCCCGGGTAAAACTCCTTTCTCTTTTTGAATAACGTTATGGAGTCTTTAATTTCTGAACAGATAGATGTGACCTTGGTTTAACATCTCACTCCACCAGAAATCCATTGGAGCGGCAGCCTAGATATTGTAAATTCGAAGTCTCAAAGTGGGGCTTGGTCCCGCCACCTTCTGAGTCAGAAGCGAGAGTGCTACCAACAGGCTCACATCATATGCAGTTTATGAATTAATGTATAGTGCTTGAAGTAAAGAATCCAATTTATTTTCTAATCTACAGGAACAACAAACTTTCAGAATTTATTTTTGGTTGATATTGGATGTCACTATTGGGTACATTAATATTTATAATCTTGTCACCTGCTAATTTTGAAACCTTATATTCATATCTTATAACAATTAAACCAAAAAATGAAAAGGATAACTAAAATTTGTTGGAATTAACATTTGTTTAAATAGTCACATCTATTTTGTTTTGAATTGTGTGAACTAAGCCAAGTTGTTGTTCTGATCTATGTCCTATAGAAAATGAAACATTTCTGATACTCACTTTTAGCTCCAACAACTTATCAAGATATACTTGCTTGGCAACATTCTCTCCTTCTTCATATAACCATTCTTCTATCTGATTTAAATATCCTAACATTTTGATGCGATCCTGTAGGTTAGAAAAGAGATTGGATTCTTTACATTAATGGCTGTATATTAATTTATAAATTGCATATTTTTGGCATTCTACAAGGTGGCCTTCTACAAAAACTCTCAATAATTTAAAAAACCAAAGACAGAATTATCATTAGATATTTAAGGTAATGTAAAACTGCATTGCCATGAATTTATTTTAGGATTAACCTTTCACTGAAACCTTTACGAAATTTCTGCATGTATTGTGTTACTCTTGTCTATAGTGTCTACAGCTTGTTCAGCAATAATAAAGTCAATTAGTATTTAATTAGTAAATCGAACATTAATTAGCTTAAATACATAGCCCACCATGTAGGAAGATGTTGCATATACAAGGATTATTATTACTGTAAGTGAATTATGCTAAAGATAGCTACAACTACAACTTGCACTTATATAGTGCCCTCCACACAGAGGCAGAGCTTGGCTCTGAGCCGGGGTTGGGGACGAGGTGACCATAAGCACAGTCGAAAAGGAAGGTTTTAAGGCAGGACTTGAAAAATGGGAAGGGGGGAAGGCGGAGAGATTGAGGGAGAGTGTTCCAAAGTTTCGGGACGTAGTGGCTGAAAGCGCGACCTCCAATGGTGGAGTGGAGGGTGCGAGAGACAAGTAGGAGGCTTGTGCCAGTTGAGTGGATGCACCGGGTGGTGGATTGGGGAGTGAGATCGAAGAAGTAGGGAGGTGCCAGGGAGTCAAGCGATTTGAACACGAGTGTGAGGATCTTGGAGTCGATCCGCTGGGTGATGGGGAGCCAGTGGAGTCTGGCCAGAACTGATGACATGTGGGTACGGAGTTTGGTCCGGGTAAGTATGCAGGCAGCAGAGTTCTGAATGAGCTGGATTTTTTGAACGGTGGAGCTGGGGAGACTGGCGAGTAGTGCGTTTGAGTAATCCAGGCGGGAGGTGACAAACGCATGCACGAGAGTTTCGTCTGCGTTTGGGGTAAGGTACAGTCGGAGGCGGGCAATGTGGCAGAGATTGCGGGAAGGCGATCCTGCTCAGGAACCGAATGTGGGGGAGGAAGGGCGGCTGGGGGTCAAACTGGACGCCTAGATTGCGCACTGGCTTGGTGAGTATGGGGGAGACCCATGAAGTATAAGGAGCTCAGATAGGGTGGAAGGGGACATGGGTGAGGGGTTGGAGGACGATGCAGCCAAGCGAATGTTTTCAATCTCTGACGCGAAAAAGTTTAGAATCTATACGCACTTGGCGTTTAATGTGAGGATAGAGGGGGCTTGAGGGGGTGCACGGAGGAGGTGATGGGTGGTGGAAAGAGTGTCTTTGGATTGTTTTTGGTCTCCAGGATGACTTTGGAATAAAAGTTAGTTTTGGCCTGTGAAAGGGAGAGGCGGTAAATACGGAGGTGCTTCAGCCACAGCTGGCGGTAAATCGTGAAGCCGAATTTCTGCCATCTGCACTCGAGCGTCCGGGCGCAGGTTTTAAGTGAGTGGAGATGACTGTTGTACCAAGGGGAGTGTTCTCCTGGATTTCAGGAGAACCAGGGAATTAAAGATTATGGAGAGACGGACATTCACCAGCTTGATGGCTGCATCAGGATCGCTGTGGATAGAGGGCCAGAGGGAGAGCAGGTCCGAGGAAGAGAGGGCATTTTTGAGGAACTCAGGGGAAGCTTCTTCCAGGGGTGGAAAAAAATGGTGGAGGGCTTGGAAAAGGGGAGGGGTTGCAGGAGGAGAGGGAGACGAAGAAGTTGTCCGAGATGGCCTTGTCCGTGATGGATAGGTCGGAAATGTCAAGGCCATGTGTGATTACGAGGTTGAAGGAGTGGCCACAGTTGTGGTTGGCGAGTTGATGAGGAGGCTGAGGTTTGGGAAGGAGCGGAGGGCAGTGAAATCTGAGGAGATGGTGCAAGGGGAGTTTAGGTGGAGATAATATTAACAACAACAACTTGCATTTATATAATGCTCTCCATGCTGAGCGGCGTTTCAGAGAGTTTAACAATGGTAGAGCCCGAGGCAGAGCCAGGGGGAGGGGGATGGTGACGTTAGGCGCGGTTGAAGAGGAAGGTCTTCAGGCGCGAACTGTAGATGGGGAAGGAGAGGGTGAGGCGAAGGGATTGAGGGAGGGACTTCCAAAGTTTTGGGGCATAGTGGCTGACCCACTTAATACTTAAACTAGAAAAAATAATTTTGAATTACTGTAATATAAAAATGAAGACAAATCATTGCAATGACATTGCATTTTAGTTTAAAATTACCAACCTGGTTTGTGATTAACAGATTCACTCAGAAAAAGTTGGACCTAATCAACCATCCTCTATTTGAGAGCATGCATGTGGGTGAGTGAAATCTATGGTCTGTTTGCTCTCCTTGAGAGTGAAAAGCACAGTCTAGGCAGTTTAAATGTTGCAATTGCTTTAAATATATAACATAATAATAATAATAATCCTTGCATTTGATATAGCGCTTTTCATGTCAGGAGGACATCCCAAAGCGCTTCACAGAACACACTGTAAAGTGAATTGACTGTATATTTGTGGGCGAACGCGGCAGCCAA